AAAGTTGCCAGTCTTCTTGATATGATGTCGTCGGTCTAAGGCTAATTTTTTTCAAGATATGTGACTTGAACATCATCGAGATCATAGAATGATGTGGTCCATTAGAAATGGACCAAGAATTCTCTTCACAATCGTCATGAAATTTCTCGCAGACTACCTTAAATTTCTAGTTTGATCTCTCATAACTGTCTTCGACTTCTAGTCAAGTAGTAGTAGTAAAAGTTACGTTTATTTGCTGGTTTTTTATGTTTCAACATTTGGTTTGAATATTTCAATTGGTTAGCCTTTGGCTCTTCAGTTTTGTTCTAGTTAATTGGTTATTCTAATGTGAGGATTGCGTATAGCGCTAATTTATGGGATTCGTTTGAATTTAAAAATTTGATAACCTACCTACGTGAGCACAGGAACCCACCTAACTACTTAAACTAGTTTGCCAAATCACGAATGATCTGGTGTTTGATCTCGGACAGGCGACTCTGAACCTTTCCAGCGTGGAAGTCTTTCGCTCCTCGAGTGGTTGAAGACCGTCCAGGTGGTGAATCTCAGAATAACGAGTTCGCGGTGGACTGTTAAGGATCATTCTGAGGATCTTGTTTTCGATCCTCTGAAGCTTAAGGTGGTGGCACTTAGCACAACTCTCCCAGATTGGCATAAAGGGTGATCGGTCAAAATTTGGTCAATATCAACTTGACGTATTTCTTTCAATTTTGCATTTAAAAAACCTGAACACCCCTCATTTTGAAGGTGTGTGTGTGTAGAATGTTGCTCCTATTTTGATTTTGGAATTCACTCTTCAGTTGTCAAAATGCCGTCCAAGCAAGAAGAGCAGCGTATCAAAATTTTGCTCGCGCATCGCGAAAATCCGAGCTACTCGCACGCAAAGTTGGCAAAATCGCTAAAAGTTGCCAAATCAACCGTTACAAATGTAATTAAAGTGTTTGGGGAACGTTTGTCGACAGCCAGGAAGTCTGGATCGGGGGGAAATCGAAAACCGGAAGCCGCTGAGACGACAAAGAGAGTTGCCGGTAGTTTCAAGCGAAACCCTAACCTCTCTCTCCGAGATGCCGCAAATAAGCTGGGTGTATCGTCTACAACCGTGCATCGAGCCAAAAAACGAGCCGGACTATCGACTTACAAGAAGGTAGTGACTCCAAATCGCGATGATAAACAAAATACGACGGCCAAAGCGCGATCCCGGAGGCTGTACACGACGATGCTGACGAAGTTTGACTGCGTGGTAATGGACGACGAAACCTACGTCAAAGCCGACTACAAGCAGCTTCCGGGACAGGAGTTTTTTACGGCAAAAGGAAGGGGAAAGGTAGCAGATGTTTTCAAGCACATGAAACTGTCAAAGTTCGCAAAGAAATATCTGGTTTGGCAAGCCATCTGTACCTGTGGCTTGAAAAGCAGCATTTTCATAGCTTCCGGGACTGTCAACCAAGAAATTTACGTGAAAGAGTGTTTGAATAAACGTCTGCTGCCTTTCCTGAAGAAACACGGTTGTTCCGTACTGTTTTGGCCGGATTTGGCATCTTTCCATTACGGTAAAAAGGCCATGGAGTGGTACGCCGCCAACAACGTGCAGGTGGTTCCCAAGGACAAGAACCCTCCCAACACGCCAGAGCTCCGCCCAATTGAGAAATACTGGGCTATTGTCAAGCGGAACCTAAAGAAGACCAAAAAAACTGCTAAGGGCGAGCAGCAGTTCAAGGCAAACTGGCTTTCTGCGGCGAAGAAGGTGGACAAGGTGGCTGTACAAAATCTGATGGCAGGGGTCAAGCGTAAGGCCCGGCAATTCGGATTTGGAAAAGCGGAGGCCTAACTGAATATTTTTCCTGAATTTTATACTAATTGAACTTGAAAAAGAAATTTAATTTGATTTTTTAAATAAACGATTTCACCGATTTACACGCGTTTTCCCTTGACCAAATTTTGACCGATCACCCTTTACCATACTCAATAGCCGACAGAATGATCTGCTTGTGGACAGCAAGCTTGTTTTTGAGGGGCAGGCTGGACTTCCTGTTTATCTGAGGGTAGAGCGACCTGATCAAGATGTTACACTTGGTGGATGTCTTGTCCACATGGGATCGGAATAGCAATTTGCTATCGAGGGTGAGACCAAGGTAGACTACTTCACTCGACCATTCAATGGGAGAGCTATCAAGATGGATCTTGACGTTAGCAGGCGGAACAAGCCGAGGTGAATTTGAGTGTGGAAACAGAATGGTTTGTGTTTTAGCTGCATTGAGACAAATCTTCCAGCTCTTGAAATAGTCGGACAGAACATCCAGGCCTGATTGTAGTTTACTCGCCAGAGCACGGATCACTCGAGGTGTCACCTGCGAACATTTAGAGGATACCACCACCCAGCAGGGGAGGAACGTTTGACGTGAAAATGTTGAATAGGATAGGCCCAAGCAGGCTACCCTGAGGGACCCCTGCATCAACGTTGAACGTATCAGAGGGGATATTGTTCAAGTAGACCTGGAATGATCTGCCCGACAAGTAGTTTTTGATGATCTTCACGAGGTAGATCGGAAAGTTGTATCGATGCAGCTTGTACACTAGGCCATCATGCCAGACATTTTCGAACGTCTTCTCGACGTCCAAAAATGCCATGGCCGATGTATTGGAAACGGACTTGTTCCGCTTGATGATGGAGTTCTAGTCAAAACTCCATTGGAGTTCTTCTCAAAATACCATTGGAATTTTTCATTGAAGTACCTTGGTCTTATCACTTGAATTTCTGCTAAATTTTCCTGGATTTTTATAAAAATCTAAACCAACAATTGAAATAGGCGGAACAATAAAACGTAAACAATAGCTTTAAACGCAAATTCCTCGAGAATCAAAGCACATCCAAGCAATCTTACACCGTCATCTGATAGAGCAAACTTCCTTTATCGAATGGCATTGTTAGTTTGCGTGAGAGTGTTTTGATTCTCTAGAATTTTGTGTTTACGTTTGGTTGCTCCGCCTATTTCCATTGCTGGTCTAGAAATCATATTGTTTTCCTGAGAGTGAACGAAATATATTTTTTTCCGATTGTCACTGGTCCCCCTGCTTCTAGAACATCGAATAAATAGGGTCATATTTATGCCTGGCTATGAAAAATCTGAAATTTTTTGCTTCATCTGGTAGAACGTCGTTCCAAAATTGCTTAAAATTAGGATTATTTTTTTAAAGTCTATGATTTCAACTCTTGAAAAAAACAATTCAAACGCTGAAATCTCGCAACATTTGCAAAATCTAAAAAAAAAGTCGTCCAAGATTTCAAAAATAATCCCCGATTTTATTTTCTATATCCGTGAACAACTATTACAATTTCGGTTAAGTGACCCACTCGGTCTAATGGCATTCGGCCTAATTACCCATGACCTTTAAAAATTGAAAACCATTTCTGATCGGGTTGAGGTCTTCTCGTTCCAACTGGCAGGGGATGCGCGATTTTATAATATCGTGTATACACACCCACACACCCATCTTCTCCATATCATTCTGATGGGATCGTCGTCTTTATCACTTCCTTTGCCCGGTCGGTCGTCATCGTGGTTGTGATTTGCAAAGCTAGGCGACGGGTAGAAGTCAGCACCGACTTGTGGCTTTGCCCATCAGCTGCACAAACACTCAAAGCAGGATTAATGATTTTCCACGTTCACTCGAAAGTCATCCATTCAGGGGGCTGCTGCGGGTGGGCTAGGTCGGTCGGTCGGTCGTTAACAGTTTTCCCTTTTATGCGATTCACACGGCCAATCAGAGTAGCTCAAAGTTTAGCCAAATTCGACTCAATATTGCAAATAGCCCACTGAACACTGAGGGAATATAGCAAACATTGTTTTTCATGTTTTCTCAAATAGAACCTACTAAATGTTTTCAATGTGTCGGACACATGCATCAATTATATGTGTGATCAGACACTCTTGTCATGGTGCCCCCGAGTTTCATAAGATTTCACTGTGCTTTTTGTTTATGTGTACCCAATGAATGTTATGAGTCTTTCTACATGGAAATTTGCCATAAAGCATGCGCACTTTTAGATGAGGGTAAAATTTTCCTCAATTTTCCAGGAAAAACTTCGTGTGTATAAGAAAAATAGAGAAATATTTCACTCAGTCTATTAGTATACGCCTAGACTGAGTAAAATTTTGATCAAGTTTTCTCATATTCAAGGCGTTTTTGCTCACTCACTGAGTAACCCCACTTTTTGCAATTTTGAGTTGAATTCGAACATGTGAAAAGGGCCAATGAGCACCACTTCAAACGTCGATTTCTAACGAATGACAACACACTTACGCAAACTTACTACAACATCTTATAGAGCATACTTTCTCTGCCAGATGCTGCTGTTTGTTTGCCTGAATGAATCTTAATACACGAGAAATCGACGTTCAAAGTCATTGATTCCATGAGGATCATTAACCCTTTTCATGTGTTCGTCTAGAACTTAGTAACTGAGTCAAATTTAACTCAAAATTTCAAAAACTGCATGAATATGAGGAAAATCGACCAACATTTTACTCAGTCTATGAGTATACTAATAGACTGGGTGAAATATCTGTCGATTTTCGTCATATTCATTCGTCTAGAGTTACTCTCATCGGCCGTGCATGGACGCGAGATGGGCGTGGTGCGGTTTTTCCTATCGCTGCAGATGTGGCATTTCCGTTTATTTTATTTTTTTCTGACAGGATACACCCAAGACTCGAATACCATCCGCTAAGGCGCAGTCAAGCGGAAAAGTACTGCTTGCGAATATACAAAAGTGCCAAGATACATTTTATCTATGTGGGATGAAATTAAAGGATATATTACGTTGCCTGTGGTGGAAAATGTTAAAACTTCAAAAGCGAACAAACTTAATCACGAGTGGGTTTAAAAATTCACTAACGGAAAAGTTGCTCTGATCCGCAATCCCATCCCACCCCATCGCCACCAGAAGCAAACAAGCCCGCAGAAAATCAAACAACCCCAACAGCAATCAAATCCATACTTACACAACCATTCCGTAGGCTCCCTCGCCGATGTAGGCCAGCTGCTGGTAGCGTGGTCCCACTTCGAACAACTGACCGCGGATGACCTCCGCGTTGGGGTTGGTATTCGTGACGCCGTTGTTGGAATTTGCACCCCCACCGACGCCGGGGGCTTGCCCGGCCTGGGCACCGTTGGCGTTGTTATTCTGACCGGCGGCTTCCGCCATTTTTCACACACTCTATCCGGCTCTTTCGCTTTCTTCTCCTTTAGGGGGTTGGAAAAACTGCCAACCGGTTGCGCGGTTTGTTTTGCTACTCGCTTCTTTGCTTTCGTATCACTTGCTCTTCGGGTTGCAACGGATTGCTTTTCTTTCCCACAGCCGGCTTCTTCGGCACCAAACTGAGTGAGTATTGCGCGCACCGCACACACACACACACACTCGCACACACCGGCACTTGGTTTTCGCCAATTATGGTGATCTACTTTTTCCAAACTTTTTCACTTATCGCGCCTTATCAAACCGAACATAAACACAACCTTCAGTTGGCAAGCACTGTTTGAGGGGGAAAAAGAAGAAAATGGAAAACAGTTAATTTTATGCAGTTAAAAAATGCGAAAATTAATATCTAAAATAGTATACCATTTTACACTGAAACAAAACTGCTGACTGTACAAAATCAGGTAGGTTTAAAACGTCATTGTTTAATTAAGATCTAATTTCCGTCATACTCAGCACAACTCGTACTTTAGTTCTCGTTTTCGAATGGATTTAAACAAAAAATGGAATGCAATCAAAATTTGTGTTACTTCATACGTAAAGTTTACAATTATAAAGTTGGGAGATAATGCTATACTAAAATCAACATGTAGCTTTAGTGCGATAATTTATGAGTTAGAGAAAGTTCAGTAGAGGTTAGATTGATAGTTCCATTAGGGTACGGCAGAGTGAAAATTGCACAGAAGTTGAAATTAAGCGTAGGGCCATTGATGCGATACTAGTAATCAAATCTACACTCCTTTGCCTAGCTCACTTGATGGAAGAACTGAACGTGAACGTGAATGTTCAATTTTCACACTTTTTGATTAATCTATCCTTTTCATAACTTTCTCTAGCTAATAAATTATCGCACTGAAGTTTCATGTTGAGATTAGTATACCATTTCCTTTTTTAAAAAATGGAATGTTTCCATCAAAGACTACTTCTTGTTTACCTTTCCATACGTACCGTTAGATTAGATAAAAAGTGACAACTTGTTGAGATATTGTAAAAATTTAACACTGCTTCAATTTCATCATACGAGTTTCAATTTCTTCCAAACAAATTGAAATGTCATTGGAGCGCTTCTTTTGTTTTCGAGAAGAATTCACCTGATTGATCCACCTTGCAGTTCTCATAAAATTCTTGACAATTCTCACTGTGTTAAGTAGGAATCCCCAAAAGTATTGCGCTGACAATATCTCTCCTCAGTAATCACTAAGTATTACCTTGAGTATTCTTCGGAATTCTTTCAATATTCCGCTCAGAATTCTCTTGGAGTGGTTCCGTGAATTCCTTGAAATGGTCCTCAGAACTCCTTAGAAACTCTTCTTTGAGTTCTCTAAAAATGATTACATTGTTCCTCTCCATAGCATTCCTTTGAAATTTATCCCAAAGCTTCGTTGGAAATTTCTTTGAAATATTTCTCAGCACTTTTTTGCAATACTCCTAAGAGTACCTTTGGGATTATTCTCAGAATTTTCATTTTATTCTAAGTTCTCCTTAGAATTTACATTCAGTTCTCCAAAAACACCTTTTAGAAAAGTCTCAAATTACATACCAGCATTAGTCAGAACTCTCTTCGAATTCTCTTTGGAATTCTCTTGGAATGCTCCACAGAATTTCCCAGTAAATTTACTTTGAAGACTACTCAGAATTCCCTTTGAATTCAACTCAGAACAACCTTGGAACTCCCACCTGGAATCTGGAGTTCGTCAGAACTAATTTGAAAGGAATGCTCAGATTCCACTTTCCTTAAAAATTCATCCTGTTGGGAAGTGGTACTAGCCAGGTTTTCTTCGATAACCGAGCAGTGGGTTTATGGCTCCACACCCCAACACGAGTCATTGATAATCCTACAGTAATATCGCTACTGTGATTGCCACAGTTTTCTTACATACGGAAGGGGCTCGGGATTCTATATAAAATACGTAAAACACTAGCGAGTAATCATACAAAACTACATACTATATATTGACCAAATAACAACTTTATAGCCAGATTTACATTTATTTACAATAGCAACAAAACATTGAACAGCTTAAAACTTGTTATCCCTATCTAACCGTTCCTGACCCTTGCCTAGTGGCTAAATAGAGTTATTCTCTTATCAGGAGTAGTATCCGATCTTCCTGTCGATACCTTAGGTATGAAATGTTCCTCAATTACGTGTGGACTGTATCAGGGTGTCGACTCAGTCCAGTAATTAAAAAAAATCCAGATGCAGTGCCTAACCTTTTTTGGCAACACGACCTCATCAGCTATTACTTTCCTCAGATATATTTTAGTGCTTTCAGGATTTTTTTTCATTAAATACCACATGGACTTCTAACCCATGAAGAGTGGTCTAATACAATTAGGGTTGTGTAACCGGTAGTCCCCTGACCGGTATCACTGGCATGAGATAATATCGGTATTTTCTGTACTGGTCATTTGAACAATAATAAATCATTTTTTTAGTATTTTTAGTAACGCAGTCAACAAGTAATAATTTTGAAATATTTCAGAAAACGTCATGATAACCCAAGCTTGAAACATTTCTATATAGAGCTGGAATTAGGACGTAACAGCTTTTGTAAACAATGCATTCTCTCCATGATATCTAGAAATCCAAGGCTCGCCCACTCAAATCAACGTCACCATCGGGTAGGGAAAGACTTTCCTTTCCCGTTGGTTATATTGGTTTGCGTGAGCCTACCTTGAATTTCGAGAAATCATCGAGAGAAGTCATTGTTTACAAAAGCTGTTACGCCCTGATTCTTACTTTCTGGAATGCTTTTCAAACCATTAAGTACGGTTCGCCCAATGGGCAAGACATTCTAGATATATTCCAAAATATCTTTAAATATTTCATAATATCATTGGAAAAATTAAAGTATTTGCAAAAATTAATACATTTAAAAGATACACACTTAGATTGTTTCGCCGAGATGGGCACCACCGAGCAGCTCGGCATTTTATTTCGCTGGATCTCAGTCAAAAACTAACCGAGCTAATAAACGGGAATTTTGCCGAGATCTCAGCTAACAAACATAAATTTTGCTGAATCTCGGCAAGTTTTTCGCTGAGATCCAGCAAAATAAAATACCGAGCTGCTCGGTGGTGCCCATCTCGGTAAAAAATCTAAGTGTGTAGAGCTTTTTAAACTAAACAATGTTTGTTCTACGAATATGTTCGTGTTTAAGTTGTCCCGCCCCTGGGTTTCACCACACTTCAGTAAAATCAGGCTGGATCTGCCTGGAAATTTCGTGACAAAAATTAGATTTCGCATGAGAGGCGATAAGTTGAATGTACATACTTCTTACTTCGGAATTGAATAATCATAATAATACTCGGGATAATAGGATATTCAGAAGATTAACCAAATAAATTATGTCTTTTTATAGCCACTTTAACACCTTTAGGTTATTCGTGACTTGTCTTGCAAAAAACGTTAATGTAGTGATCGAAGAATGGATGTGAAACTAGTAAAAATTCCTTGAAATAAATGGTTTTTCTTATTTTCGATATCCATTTATTTTCTTAAAATCTCTGGGTACCGGTATTTTACCGATATTATCGTTAATGAATCTGTAAGTACCGGAATACCGGTACTTGCATAATTGGTCCGGTACTGACAACCCTAAATTCAATCTCAGATTGAATAAAGCATTCGATACACTTTATAGAATGCAAAAAAGACAGAAATCGTGGGTTGCCAAACACAGGAAAGCACCTTCTGAATTCACAAATTTTAAATATGTTAAGCGCCAGGTAATCATTTCCAGCAGTTTAAAAATTTTAGGAAGTTCATAATCTTGGATTTACTCCATGATACGAGAAAAGATCCTTGGTATGACAATTTTTTCACCTTTAGAAGTTCTTTTCTAACTGTTTCCGAACTTAATACTAGGGGCAGAAATTCATCCAGTTCTCCTACATCTTACATACAATGGCGTCGCGTAACCTCACTTTTTACCTGTTCAACAACTTTGAAAACGTTATTTAGGGTCATGTTTAAATTCAAATCAATTTCAAAAGGCTCAGGGTCTCCTAGTTTCACAGATTTGTTTTCATTGGTACCAATATTGTTTTATTTGTTTACTTTTTGAGAGTTGTTGAACAGGTAGATTGAGGTTAGGGCGACGCCACTGCTTACATAGGACACTATATTGGTAGCAAATTATACAACAACCTACCACAAATATGTAAATATGCTGTAGGCCCATTCAAGTTAAAAATCGTCCTGAGCAAACGTTTAAAGGACCATCTCTCCAGATATCTACCCTGAAGCTCTAATACTAATGTCACGGATACACTTGTATGACAAACTATAAACATGAGCATTATGTGTATAATAAATTATTAGCACATCCATGGTCACACTTGCATAGTTTTTGTATAGTTGTTGTATAGTGCTCATAATTATTATACAAATAATACTCATTCTCATAGTTTGTCATCCAAGTGTATCCGCAGCATAACGATACTCAAACGTCAGTGTATTCCCGGAAAATGATGTCCAACATTCCTGTCTATTCCGACGCTTCTGGGATCCTCATTTGTTCTTCGGTCCGGCGGAGCACGAGCTCTTCATCGGATAAGAAGCAATCTCCGATGTCTAACCATCGTTGCGCCTGAAGCTTCAGCAACTGTCAAGTTCGATACTTCTGAGATCCTCATCTTTTATTTGGTATGGCGGAACACCAGCTCTCTATCAGCTTCGCAACTGTCTATTCCGATGCTTCTGGGATCCTCATCTGTTCTTCGGTCCGGCGGAGCACCAGCTCTTCATTGGGTAAGATGCTGGTATATGCCTGGCCGAAGCCGCCAGTGATACTGCACCCCTAAAAGATGTATAACATTTGTTTCAGTTTCAACATGAACCCTCACAATATTCGAGCTCTTCATCGTATCTTGCAGCCTGCACCTATAACATATAACTACTCCGATCCTTCTGGAATCCATACCTGATCCACAGACTGGTGGAACACCAGCTCCAAGTTTCAACGAACCCTGTCACACGTAAATCTTCAGCCAACATTTATGTTGTCAGTTTAGCTTTAAGTTGTAAATCTAAGTCAGCAAACGCATTCCCTTAAAAGAGTTCAACTCACTGGGAGTGCAATTATTTTGTATTGTCTATTGAAAAAAGTGAAGATTTTGTGCCTATGGGAGAAGAGGCTGTTTAAGAAGCCTTACTCCTACGGGTTTTCCTTCTGTGCAGTAAATAACTAAAAAAAAATGTTTCAGAAGAAAATCATCCCCGTGTCTTAACACTTTACCATTCTTGCATTTTTACTCAACAGCGCTCGAAG